GTTTCGTGCACCCTAGCATCCATCTCCCTCTATCAATCTCCCTAAGGGGACAGATAAGGAGAGACTGGCTTAGGGGGGTGGGGGACATCGGCCCAGAATCGGCGATACATCGCCGATTGACCGGCGGGAGGCTCCCGATAGCAAATCCGCACGTTCCCAGGCTGGGTGCGCTATTAGGCCCCATATCAGCGATCTATGGGCGATTGGGGGTCGATGCATCCGCCCCTGAGCCTTTCCCCCCGCAACGTTGCCCCCGAGCTCCGTCCACTTCGGCCCTCCCTCCTTCGAGGCGGCCAGGGGGCCTGAGCTAGTTGGACCCCGAGAGACATTCCGTCAAGAGGGAGGGGTGAAGGCAAATCCGCTCAAAATCGGTCCCCGGACCGCTCTCTCTCTCTCTCTCTCTCTCTCGGGTGTTGCTAGAAGTGCCCCTGGCCCAAGGTGCCTCGGGAATTTCCAAGAAGGCCCCACGGCCTCCAGAGCACCCCTCACGAGGCACAGAGGGTCCCAGGGGCTCCAAAATTGGGCGAAAAGCTGGAGGCACCTTGGGCCAGGGGCACCTTGGGCCAGGGGCACCTTTACCGACTCTCGGGGTCAATCTGGTGCAGTTTTTCACCCCAGATCCATTTTTGACGGCACCGCGGCCCGAAAGCGGACCCCGGAAGAACGACAAAGGCAAAATGTATTTTGCTTCGAGCGACTTCCACCGAAATCTTCGGCGTTTGTTCCCAACGGTGCGCACGTCGCGTTTGAAATGTTATGGAATGCGATGTGCGTTGATGTTGTACTACCGTGTGACATGTTATACCATGGTATGGAATGTTAGGATGTGCTGTGTCATGGTTGTGTATGTCATGGTATGTTATTGTGTTATGAAGTGTGGTGTTATGTTTTGTTCTGGATGCTCAAGTGTGTCATAGAATATGGTAGTATGGTGTGTTGCGTTCTGATATGATGTGGCATGTTATGTCACGCTCTGTCAGGTTGTGATGTGTCCTCAGAGATGCGATGCTGTATTGCATGTTGTATGTGATGTGATGTTGTGTTGTGATGTGGTGTGTTATGCCATGGTATGATATGTTATGGTGTGGCGTGTCATACAGTGGTATGATATGATGTGTTGTGTTATGGTAGAGATGATCCGATGTGTCGTAGCATGCGTTGGTATGTTGTGCTGTGCTATGATGTGTTACGGTACGTTATGTGAGGCCGTGGCATGTTATGGTTTGGCATGTTCAGCTCTGCGATGTGCGCTTATGGTATGCGTGCGTTGTCATGATATGAGAGAGCGTGATCCACCGCCGCTTTACTGTGGAAAATTGCCAACCTTTTCCTCCAGAACCCGGTAGGTCCCCCCCCCCCCCCCCCTCCGAAAATCCCCCCCCCCCCCTGCTGGAACCCTCCCCCCCCCCCCCGCCCCCCTCCCCCGCACAACCCCCCACCCCCCCGCTCCCCTCCCCCGGCAAAGCCCCCCCCCTCCCCTCGAAGAAAACCGAGGGGGGTCCTACCGGTTCGAACCCCTTGTCCCCCCCCCTCCCCCCCCGAGGGGATCCGGAAAACTGGAGGGGGCCACTACCGGTTCGCACCCCCCCTTCCCCTTTCCCCCCCCCCCCTACTCACCGCCAGCAAACGACTCCCGGTCCCCACCACCGTCCGCATCACATCCCCCACTGGTGTTCCCAGCACCACTGTCCTCACCACCGCTGTGCCCACTGGTTCCACCACCGCCCCTACTGTCCCCACCAGTGGCCCCACCACTGTCGCACTGTCCCCGCTGTCCCCAGAACTGTTCCCACCACGGTTCCACTCTCCCAACTTTCTCCACGGCCCCAACCACTGCCCGACTATCCCCACTGTCCCCACTGTCCCACTGACTCCTCCGCTGTCCCACTGAGCTGTCCCACTGTTCCCACCACTGTCCCCACTGTCCCCTCCACTGTCCCCACTGTACCTCTGTCCCATTGTCCCACCGCCGTCCTCGCCACCGCCTTCACCACTGTCCCCACCACCATTGTACCCTCCACTGTCCCACTGTTTCCACCTCATTCCCATTGTCCCCACACCACTGTCCCCACCACCACCGTCACCACCACTGTCCAATGTCCCCCCCTGTTCCCACCATTGTCCCCACCACTGTCCCCACCACTACCGTCCCCACCACTGTCCCACTGTCCCACTGTCCCCACCACTGTCCCGCTATCCCCTCACCACTGTCCCCACCAACACCGTCCCCACCACTGTCCGCACCCCCACTCGTTTTTCGAGGGGGGGGGGGTTCGAACCGGTAGTGACCCCCCCGGTTTTCCGGATCGGAGGGGGGGGGGGGGGGTGGGGGGGGGGGGGGGGAGGGGTTCGAACGGTTTAGGTCCACCAACAACTTTTTCATGATGAGCAGGGGTGGGGGGGGGGGGGGGGGGGGGGGGGTTCGAACCGGTTAGGGTAGTGACCCCACCGGTTTTCCGGTGGGGGGGGGGGGGGGGGGGGAGGGGTTCGAACCGGTAGTGACCCCCCCCGGTTTTCCGCCAGCAGCGGTAGAACACGCTCTTTCCATGATATGGAGGGTTAGGTGCTGTCATGGTGTGCTATGGTATGTACTGCTGTGTCATGGTGTGTAATGGTACGATATGGTATGCCATAATATGGTATGGCATGATCTGAAATGTTATGGTAGGTTGTGTGGTGTTATGCTAAAGTAGGCCATAGCTTATGATATAGCGCTGTACTATGTTATGTTATGCTATAATGCCGTTCTGTCATGTTATGATTTGTTGGCGCAAGGCGGTACACTCGGGGACACACGGGTGACCTGGGGATCTGGCGGCCGCGGTATGAAGAGTGGCGCAAAGCGGGACACTCGGGGATACTCGGGGGACCTGGGAATCTGGCGGTCGCGGTATGCAGATCGGCGCGAGGCGGTACACTCGGGGACACTCGGGAGACCTGGGGATCTGTCGGCCGCGGTATGCAAAGTGGCGCAAGGCGGGACACTCCTGGGCCCTGGGGGATCTGGCGGCCGCGGTATGCAGAGTGGACGGGTCGGGAGGACTGTTCTTAAAATCTAACGACCCCAACCTGTCGGGTGCGGAATAATCGTCCCGAAACGAGAACCTCGAAGCTCCCCCCTCCCTTCCTACTGGCCGGAACCAGTGCTGGGTCACCTCAGACCCCCAGCCGGCTCCAACCCCTGGCCTCTCTCTCTGGCGGCGCGCACCAGAGGGTACATAGGGGAGGGGGGGAGGCTACTTAGAAGGAGGCTGCTTCTTAGAGGGCGCGGGCCTCACATCTCCAGATAAGGCCCGCGCCTTCTAAGAAGCAGAGGTGATTCTTAGAAGCCTCCCCCCCTCCCTCTACCCCCCTCTGCGCTTGGCCGACCCTTGCCCTGAGGATGAGGAGGAGGAGGAGGAGGAGGAGGAGGAGGAGGAGGAAGGAGGGAGGACGGGGGGGAAGAAGGGAGAGGGAGGGGCGGAGGAGGAGGAGGAGGAGGAGGTGGAGGAGGAGGAGGAAGGAGTGGAGGAGGTGGAGGAGCAGCAAGCTAGGAGGAGGAGGAGGAGGAGGAGGAGGAGGGGGTGGAGGAGGAGGAGGAGGAGGGGTGGAGGAGGAGGAGTAGGTGGAGGAGGAGGTGGAAGAGGAAGCAGAAGGGGAGGAGGAGGGAGGAGGAGGAGGAATAGGAGTAGGAGAGGAGGAGGAGGAGGAGGGAGGGAAGAGGGTGGAAGAGGGGGAAGTAGAGGAAGAGGGGGAAGGAGGAGGTGGAAAGGAGGGTGGAGGAGGAGAGAGGAGGAGGAGGAGGAGGAGGAGGAGGGGGAGGGGGAAGGAGGAGGAGGAGGAGGAGGAAGAGAAGGATCGAGGAGGGAGAGAAGAAGGAGGAGGAGGAGGAGGAGAAGGAGGAGCCTCCCTCCCGCTCGGCCGCGCCTCCAGGCGCGCCGTCAGCGCGGCGACGGTCGCCTCGCGAGGGGGCTCGGGCGGGGCTCTCGTAGGGTGCTTTTTTATGTGCAAAAGGCGGCCCCGCGGCCCCAACCAAAAGGGGGGGGGAGGAGGGAGGAGAGAGAGGAGAAGGAGGGAGAAGTAGGGACGAGGAGGAGGAGGAGGAGGAAGAGGAGGGACGGGGAGTAGGAGGAGGAGGAAATCAATCAGCACCCCTAGGGCCGACCGTGCACTCCGTAATCACGATTGTGTGCCCTGTGTTGTCCACCACTTTCTCCATATGGTGTCTCTTCGTCGTGGAAGAGGCAGGCGCATCATCATAAACAACGCCTGACCAATCATCGGCCAAGGTCAAGAGATCTTTCGTGCGATAGAGAGCTCACTGAGCCAGCCACCTCCACTGTTCCGCATCGGCAGGCGGACAGTTCAGTGCCAGCAGAAGGGCACGCAGAGCTCGAGATGCTGCCGAAAACAGGCTCGATGTGCAAGCACGGGAGACTCGAGCGTCTCGCCAGCTGTCGATACGCGCCAAAGGCAGAAGAGACGGAACGCCACTCCCGTGCTAGACGCCAGTACGGTGAAAAGGAGGAGACGTCACAGCACGCATCACCAGCGTGCAGGTGGGCACCTGTTGGCTTAGACCAAGAGGGCCACGGTGGGGGGGAAGAGAAGGCGGAGGAAGAGACTAAGGAGAGGGGAACGAGGACAGAGGACGAGGACAGGGCAGGGGACGAGGAGGAGAACGAGGGAAGAGGAGGTGCAGCAGCAGCAGTTATAGCGGGATCGGCGGCGGCGGATCTGCACGTCCAGGTCGACTGAGCATCAGAAGCGATGGACGCAGGGCGCGAGGGGGCACTGTGCCCAAGTCGGGGGGGCGGGAGACGAAGTGAAAGGGGCCCAGGGGGCACACACATAACCAGACAGAAATCACAGGATTGTCCATGTGATCCCTTTTTGTTCTGGAGGCTCGTCTTCTCCTCCGCCTCCCATACTTTCCATATTTCCCTGGGAGTCGACGATTCGTTGTGTCTGTGCTTCTTGTTCCCCTCCCGAGGGAGGCCCAGTGCTCGACCCGGCAGGAGCGAGGCTGGCAGGTCGTGGTGCGCTGGCGCCGAAGCAGAGAGGCCCGTCGTCCGCAGGGCGTCCGCGGAGGGCGGTGCGGGCGGCGGCCTTGTGCGCCTTGTGCTGCATCCTGCGATCCTGCGAGCGCGCGCGCGCGGGGGGGAAGGAAGCCACGGGGCGCCGCTCGTCGGCCGGCGGCAGCCGCCGCGCGCGGGCCCCCTGCTCCTCGCCCCTCCTGGCGTCGGAGCTGTGAAGCAGCTGCTTCTTGCTGGAGGCTTGGACATGGGCGCCAACACCAAGACAGGGGGCTGCCTCCACAGGGGCAAGACGATCCTAGATTTCGGTGGTGGTGGTGGTGGTAATATTTCGGCCACCTGGAGAGCCAGAATATTACCACCATCACCGAGATCGGAATCTTCTTCCCTCGGTGGAGGAACACCGCCGACATTGGTGCTGGTGTCAACTCCTAGGCCTGCGATCTTGCGCCGATTACGGCCCCCATGATTACGCGCAGTGGCTACCCGTGGCACGGGCCGCAGCCTTCTGTGGCCCGCGCGGACTTCTTGGAGTCGGCGACGGCCCACCCTTGTCCGACACACCCTGACGGTCCCTCTGGCACGACTTGGGAAGCGCGCCAGGGGCACCGCCAGAGGCGCCGCCGGGGTGCGCGGGGAGGGGAGGGGGCGTCGCCGACCCCAAGGGATCCGCGCGGACCTCCGAGAGGTTACGGCTGCGTATGTTGCTCTGTGATTCGCTGCACGGCTCTGACCCTCCGAGGGCAAACTGACACGACCATCGCGCGCGTGCTTGGAGCATCCTTATCCATCTGCAGTCGACGCTCCGTATCCAGAGGTCTGCTTCGCTCGTTCGGAGCTCGGCCAGGAGGAGGGCCAAGCCGAGATCGCAGCCTATAGGCCTTCTGTGTAAAACGCGGAATGCTATCACACGAGCTCGTACATTGACATTGCATCTACCACCGAACGATCTGACAAGCTCTGCTCTGTTACCGCTATTGCGCCATGTGTCGCATTTCCCGCACTGATCGTTGTGTGACGTTCTTGCATACCTGCATCGCTTACTAGCTTCGCCTCACCTTGCCTCGCCCTCCCAATTGACCTCAATGTGCCACGTGTTCCACAGGTCACGCTTAGTCCAGCACTTGTGGCCTGCGTTGCTTGCCTTCCTGGCAGAAAACAATACAAAAATCAAAGGTCCAGGATGGGGGTTCCATGGCACATACCTCCCCCAGGCGCCCGCAAGCCCCCTCCCCGACCCCCCATCCTCGCCCCTCTCTGGAGACCCCCCTCCCCTTGCGCCAACCCGAACGCGGTGCCGGAATCGCGCGGCAGCGCCACTGGATACCTGTGAGTCCAGCACTCGTGGACCACAAACACACAACTTCGCTGCGCAGAAGAACACACCGCTGCACAAGCGCAAACGGTGGGAGACCCGCGAGCACCTTCTTGGGTCGGCGCTGGCCCCCTCCCCTGGCGCGCGAAGCGCGCTGGGTGCGGCGCCCGCGGCACGGCCGGGGTGATCAGCGCCGACCCCAGGCATCCGCGCGGCCCTCCGAAAGCGCATGTGCATGCCGTCTTCTGAGTCCCTACTGCAACAGCTCGCCGTCGACCCTCACCTTGGAGACCATGCCACCGCTGCTCGGCAGCCCGCGGCGCGGCCCGGCTGCTGGCTGGCGCGAGCACACGCCTTCCCCGAGCCAGCAAGCTCGAAAGAGGAGCCGTCGGTCAGAGATCGCCTCGCCTGTCCCTGGACCGCCGGCGTCACGGCGTCACGACAAAAAAAGCACTGACCATCAATAGAAATGACTACGACCATCAACAGAAATGACTACAAGGCGGCGCTCCTAAGTTTGAGTGTTCGGCCTCCCAGAGCCCAAATTATTATTCGCGGCGATACCACCCGTGACCGGCCCTGCCCCAGCTATAAGCTGCCCCACCCTCTTCCCCCCTGGTTACGTCACGATTCGCGCCAGCAACGTCTGAGAATTGGCCATTCTGAAACATTCCCAGACGGCGCGAATCTAGAGGCCTCCCAGATGGGGTCAGAGGATCGCGCCGCATCGCGGATGCATCGGCGACATCGGCGATGCATCGACGACATCGGCGTGGAGAAAGTCGGACTCCACATCGAGTTGCATCCCCCATGCATCGGCGACGGAGATGCGGCGCGATCCACCGACCCCGTCTACTCGGATCCCGCTTGGGAGGCTTAGAGAATCGTGACGTGACCTCCCCCGCCCCCACCCCCTAGTCACGCCCGCTATCGTCGGGGGGGTAAGGAACGACCTCCAGGGGCCGCTCCTGGCGAAACCAAAAGGCACGGATACCACTACTCCCTGGACCTCTCTTGGGGTGCGTTCTGCCCAGAATCTCGGGGCGAATCCAGCTGCGGCGACGAGGGCCTCCCAGGAGGCCCGGAAGGGCAAAAACGAGGGAAAGGTAGCGGAGTGCGGAATCCGTGCCTTTTCCTCCTCTGCGCTCCCGCGTCCCAGGACCGTCCGAGAGCGGCTGGGCGGCGAAAAAAGCGGCCCGAGGGGGCGGGGTCGAGAGCTTCGGGGCTCGCGTGCGCACCGCCGTCGAAGGCCGGGGCCAGGCTCTCCCCAGAGAGAGGCCACACCCCCCGCAGGAGGCCTCTCTCGCCCTGTCGCACAGCCCTTTCACCTCCTCGAACGCGAGGAGCCCCTCGCGCGGCAAGGGGGGAGAGAGTGAGGGAGGGAGGGGAGGGAGGGCAGGGGAGGGAGGGGGGGAGGGGAGGGAGGGGAGGGAGGGAGGCAGGGCGGGGAGGGGAGGGCTGGAGGGGAGGGAGGAATGGGAAAGGGAAAGGGAATGGGAATGGGAATGGGAATGGGAATGGGAATGGGAATGGGAATGGGAATGGGAATGGGAATGGGAATGGGAACGGGAATGGGAGCGGGAATGGGAACGGGAATGGGAACGGGAATGGGAACGGGAATGGGAATGGGATCAATGACGTCATCATAGGAGGGAGGGAGGGAGGGAGGGAGTTGGGGGAAAGAGAGAGAGAGAGGGAGAGAGAGAGAGAGAGAAGGAGAGAGAGAGAGAGAGCCGCTTCACACTCCAACTGGAGGGGAGGGAGGGGGGGAAGAAGGGAGGCGGAGGTGGAGAGGGAGAGGTGTAGAGGGAGGAGGGAAGAGGAAGAGGAGGAGGAGAAATCGGGCTTGACGCAGCCACGAAGTGCGACCCTGAACACGCACTCGACATACAAACACATAAGCCACACACCAAGCAGAACATGCTAGGCTTGCTTTGCTCTGTTTGGAGAAGAGGAGGACGAGGAGGAGGAGGAGGAGGAGGAGGAGGAGGAGGAGGAGAAGGGGTAGGAGCACTGCCAGCATCATGGGGCGACACGTGTCTGAGGAAAGGGAAGGAGGCGGTGGGAAATGAGGCGGCGGCGGACGAGCAGCAGCAGCAACAGCAGCGGGGCGAACAGCAGGTGAGGAGGGCCGAGGCGGATGAGGCGAGGGGGGGGAGCCTTCGAGAAATCAACGCCGTGGAGGGACGGCCATGGCTGGCCCACTCGTGGACCGGGCAACAGGCGATGCACTGTGGGGACCAGTCCCACGCTGGGGCCGCAGTGGTCACACCACACCATCGACATCGCCGAATCACCGGCCATCGAGGCACGACCCACCAGCCACTGTCACGGAAATGGGGCTAAGGGCTGGCTGCCAGATGGGGACCTACACTCGCGAGCGAATTGACTTGGAGAGGGTTCTGCACGTACGACAGTGGCCCTGTGCTCAGAGGTGTCTGTTTGGGGACCCTGGGGGGCCACGGGAGCGGAATTCAATGGACAGTCCCGCTCTCAAAGATGTGTCCCGTTAGGGTTGAGGACGTAAGGGAGGAGCTGTTGGGATGGGGGACTTTCAGGAGGGCCCTGGGTCAGGCTCATACAGTGGAGGGCCCTTGGCCCAGGACGCCTGAGGTCGAGAAAATAGCCCCGACAAAAACCTGGACGCACTCAATTTTTGTTGTGAGAGGAGCTTAGCCAAGAGGCATCCTTTGCAATACAGTCGGGCGTATCTTAACATCGTGACGTATTGCATGCTGTGATCAACCGTTTTCACGCCAGCCGTGCTCTTCTCGATTGCAGTCGTGCGGACTCCGTGTGCCTTTTGGGGTAAGATCTGTTTGGCGTCTCACAAAAGTCCGTTAAAACATAATTGTTGCATGCATTATATACGCATGTGCATACCTCTGATTGAACATACGCAAGAGCGGTGCCATTCGCCTTGCCTCTCAGGGTTTCGCGGATGAGGGATGGAGCGTACGATCGAGCAGAAGATTGCGTCATTGTAATGCTCATGCACGGGACGTGCACGCACGACAGAAATCCTGGAAACCGCTGCTGGAGTCTTGGAACGTATCATTATCATGACCTCTTGCTCCTCTGATCCTCGAGTCACACCCAGCTGTGGTGACGGGGGGCGGCGGGGGGCGAGCCACACTCTTCTGCACGCCGCCGTGCTGGCTGGAACAACTTTTACCGGCAGCGCCGGCGATCGCAGGCGCGTCTGAGCAGAGCCCGCGGGCCACGCCGGGCACGGGGCGCGCCAGGGCGGGTGGAAAAGCAGAGGACGGCCGCGGAGGCGGGTTGGCTGGAGCACCCAACCAGGCCGGTCTCGACGGGCACCTTCGGATGCCGCCTGCACTTAGAACGGGGACGCGAAGCCTGCCGACAGAACGCCGCGGGGCGGGCGCAAACGCGCCCGAATCCAGGAGGCGAGGCGGGCGCACGGTGGTCCCCTCACACGCTGCGAGGCCCCGGCTTGCACGCCCGCTCGGCGCTCGGCTCCTCGTTGTAGACGAGCGTGAGGTCGTGCGACTTGTCTCTGAGGATGGCGACCTCTCGCGCGCGCGACGCCTACGGCGTCAACAAAATCGAAAGCCCACCGGACCGATAGCGAAGCCGTAGCGGACCGAAGCCGACGGGCCGAAAGCAGCCTGGAAGGACGCAGCGGCGCAGCAACCGACCGAACCGAACTGACCCGATGCAGCCGACTTCGAACCAGTCGAACCAACCGAACCGCGGACCATCAGCTGGCCCACTTCGACTACCCACCGTCCCCTTTGCATGCCCTGCCTCGGCGAACTAATCGACGCTACCCTCTCCTCCCCTCCCTCGCCCTCAGCCCCTCCCAGCCATCCCTCTCCTGCCCTCGACGCTCCAACCCACCCATCGGCTACACGAAAGAGTGAACCTAGGCAAGAGTGACCTTTGGTGCGCGACTTTCGGGGGCCGCGGGGAGGCCGAACTGGAGCGCGCGAGCCGCTGCCATCGCATCTCGTTCAGCCATCGGGGGACCCCAGTGTGCCCACACCAGAGGTCACTCCTGCGAAAGGCTTTTTTTTTTTTGCATTGCCGACCCCACCCCCCTCAGCGGCCCCCTCCCCTCCACGCCCACCCCCCTCAACGACCTCCGCCTTCAACGCCCTCCCCATCCCTGGGCTTAGGTCGGGCCTGTCCCCCTACAGGGGGATTGTGGGCGGAAAAAAAGGATCCTGGCGAAGGACCCAACCATATGCAGTTGTGAACACCGCACTTGTGAATACCATCTTCGCCCGCGCTCCCTATGTGGCCACGGCTTCCCGCCGGAGCCCGACATGCTCAGGGACACGTTCGTGGCCGCCTTCGCGGGCGCCGACGACGACAAGGACGGCGCCCCTCTCACCGAGGAGCAGAAGCAGGAAAGGGCCTTGAGAGCCATGAGGGAGGAGGTGGCGTTGCATGTCGACAAGGCGGAGTACGACGCCCAGGCGCGGTTGTTGAAGCAGCACAACTATGGGGCCACGATCCTCGTGAGGGATGTGCCGCAATGGCCCGATTCCGCCATGCGAACCCTGCCACTGGCGCCTTCGGTGGAGCTCCAGTGGGGCCACGGTCCTCGTGAGGGGTGTGCCGAAATGGCCCGAGGCCGCCATGCGAACCCTGCCACTGGGGCCTTCGGTGGAGCTCCCTCTGGGGCCACGATCCTCGTGAGGGGTGTGCCGAAATGGCCCGAGGCCGCCATGCGAACCCTGCCACTGGCGCCTTCGGTGGAGCTCCCTATGGGGCCACGATCCTCGTGAGGGGTGTGCCGAAATGGCCCGAGGCCGCCATGCGAACCCTGCCACTGGGGGCCTTCGGTGGGCTCCCTATGGGGCCACGATCCTCGTGAGGGGGTGCCGAAATGGCCCGAGGCCGCCATGCGAACGGTGGAGCTCCCTATGGGGCCACGATCCTGAGGGGTGTGCCGAAATGGCCCGAGGCCGCCATGCGAACCCTGCCACTGGGGCCTTCGGTGGAGCTCCCTATGGGGCCACGATCCTCGTGAGGGGTGTGCCGAAATGGCCCGAGGCCGCCATGCGAACCCTGCCACTGGGGCCTTCGGTGGAGCTCCCTATGGGGCCACGATCCTCGTGAGGGGTGTGCCGAAATGGCCCGAGGCCGCCATGCGAACCCTGCCACTGGCGCCTTCGGTGGAGCTCCCTATGGGGCCACGATCCTCGTGAGGGGTGTGCCGAAATGGCCCGAGGCCGCCATGCGAACCCTGCCCTGGCGCCTTCGGTGGAGCTCCCTATGGGGCCACGATCCTCGTGAGGGGTGTGCCGAAATGGCGAGGCCACCATGCGAACCCTGCCACTGGAGCCTTCGGTGGAGCTCCCTATGGGGCTACGATCCTCGTGAGGGGTGTGCCGAAATGGCCCGAGGCCGCCATGCGACCCCCCCTATGGGGCTACGAAACGCTGTGCTGGGAGGGTGAAACGCAAGGAGGAGGGGGAGGAGGAGCGGGAGCGGCGGGAACGCGGGGCACCGTCTCTTCAAAACGAGGGCCCAACACCACAGGACGGTTGGGAAAAACTCCAAAAATGCCCCGAATATGCCCAAGAACAATCAAAAAACAGTCCCCAGACGAAGCTTGTACCATTTTTGAATATCCCTCCTGTAGGGGGACAGGCCCGACTTGACACTGGGCCGGAGCCCGCAGCAGCCGAGCAGGCCTCCGGGGGCCGCGCAGAAGACGAGCGGAGCCGGCCAGCGGCAGTCGGCGGCGAGCGCGGGACTGCCAATATGGACTGCCAAGGTGTGGGAAGGCCCCTCGGGGCTTGACCGCCCCGCCCCGAGCGCCGCCACCCCGGAGGGCCTATGGGCCAGCGCGGCGGGGACAGCGGGCTTGGGCCCTCTGGGGATGCGCCTGTTGCAGGTCCGGGCCTCCGGGCCCCCCAGTCACCCCAGAGGGCCTGGGCGGGCCGGGCAGGCGCAGCGTGCGTTGCGTTCCCTTCGGGGCCGGCCCTAACGCCGGGCGAGCCTCGCAGCCTCCCCGCCGCCCGGGGGCCGATCCCCCCGCAGGTGGGACAGGGCGCCGGGTGGTCGGGCGGGCTTTGCAGGCTCGCTCAGCGCGAATGCGAGGGAGGGCGGGGAGGGGGAGGGAGGAGAGGAAGGGACGGAGGAGCGGCGAGAGAGACATCGGGGAGGGGGAGGGGGAGGGGGAGGAGGAGGGCAGCAGCCGCGGCAGGTCGGGGGAAGGGGGGCATTTTTACCTGCGCGCGGCATGCACCAGCGCCGCGCAGGAGAGCCCCAGGTAACGGACCTTCGCCGCGAGCTCCCCGAGGTCATCGGTGTCGGCGAGCACCCACTCCGCCAGCCCCGGCGGCGGCGCCCATACCTCCAGCAGGGCGGCACGGAGCGCATCAGAACCCGAGCACCGGACCAGCAGGTGGTGCAGCCCAGCCGGCTCTCGGCCGCACAAGGCACAGGTGGTCGGCAGGCGGGCCGCCCCCACGCCCCAGATGGCAGTTGGCAGCTCGGACGTGACACGCGCCACGCACCAGGCGCGGTGGAACCTCCATTGGGTCTGGCCCCAGGAGGCCCAACGGAGCTCCTCCGGCCAGGCCTGCCGCAGGGGAAGGACAGCCGCGATCGGCAGCAGCCCCGTGTCGTTGAGCTTGGCCAGCTGCTCGCAAAACCACACCCTTTCCGCTTCCCGCACCCGCGGGATAACGCAGGACCGCGCCCATAGCCGCACCACCCTGCGGCGGGCCGCCGGTCCCTCCGCCGCCGCGGTTTTCAGCTCGTCGGGCGGCGGCCCCACCCCGAGGCTCCGAGCCACCGCGGCTGCGTCCTGGAGCCAAGTGCCTCTGCCTCTTGCCAGCGCCGCCTGGACCGCGGGCGCGACGGGCGAGCCTTCGGGGAGCACCAGCAGCCGAGCCCACGCCAGAATGATGCGCTGGGCGACTTTGGCGGCCACGCGCGTCAACAGTCGCGTCTCCAGGAAGACGCGGAGGTAGCCCCCATCGCCAAAGGACGTGCCCGGAGGGAGCCCCAAGAGCGCCTTCGCCGCGTCGTAGTATGCGCGGTTTAGCTGGGCCGCGACCGCGGCCCAGCCACGCGCATGGCTCGCCAGCAGCTCCGTGCCATACAGCGCGGCGGACTCGACGCGGCTCGGGACCTGACCAACGATCATGGGGAGGCCGAACCCCTGGTCCGAGAGAGCGGCCGTCAGTCGTCGCGCGCCGTCCCGGAGGATTGCGCAGGTGCGTGTCAGGAGCGGATCCAAGGAGAGCTCCGCGTCCACCGGGATGCCCAGGACCTCGAGCTGACTGACAGCGCGGACCCCGACGGCCCCGATGGCGCCGCACCTGCTGGGGTCTACGGCCGGCAGGCCCACCGCCATTGCAGCGGGGCCCTCGCTGCCGTCCTGGTAGCGATGTCGATAGGCGGCACAGAAAGCGCCCAAGCCAGCGCTGGCCCGCATCACCCCCGTCTCGTCTGGCTGCAACACGAACGTGTCGTCGACGAACTGCAGCATCGGCAGGGAGGGGGGAGGGGCGCTCGCCGGGGCGCTCTCCGCGAGTGGGAGCGGCTGGGCGGCGACCTTGCAGGCGTCAATGAGAGCGCGGACAAGCGCGCTGAACATGTGGACGCCCCCGCGCCTGCCTTGCCCCACCCCGAAGTCAAGGAGTCTGACCCACGAGGGGCCCAACGCGCACCCGCACGCGCTCCTCGCTGAGGGACGCCGCCGCCGCGAGCCACCACCGCCCGCGCAGTCCAGCCCGGCGCAGCTGCAGCAGCACGCCGTCGCGCCAGGCCATGTCGAACCCATGCAGCAGGTCCGCTTTCTGGACCACCGTGCGGAGCCCCAGCCCGCGCCGCACCTGGAGCGCGATGAGCAGCCCAGCCGCCATGAGCGTCGCATCATAGCGCCCCCCTGCCTGCTCAGAGCCGGCGAACTGCTCCAGCAGCGGGCGGGTGACGGCCAACCAACCAGCATCCAGAAACCCTTCAAGGTCCCCAACGTAGCTGATGGGCCGGAGGACGGCAGGGTCGCTTACCACCGGGGGCCCCCTCTTGCGAATCGGGGATATCTCCCGCATCCACTCACTTGCGCAGAGGCCAGAAACCAGCGCCAAGTTGAGAACGGCCCACGTCACCAGGCGGCCCGGCGCCTGCGCTGCCTTTGCCGCGGCGCGCGGCAAGTGGAGCGTTTTGCGAGAGGCGCGAGCCTGCTGGACGATCTCCGCCACCAGCTCCGGCGACAAGGGGTCGCCGAGTTCCTCCGCCGTCTCGCGGAGCGCTGCAGTCTGGGCTGCCCGGACCTCCGCGCGGACCTGCGCGTTGAAGGACGCCACGCCCGGGCCCGCCGCCGCGCCCCGGCCAAGGATGGACGCAGTCACTACCTCGATCGCCTCAGCGGGGCCGAGCCGCCTGCCCGAATCTGGGTCCCAGAGGGCCAACTGCAGCGGCTCGCGCGGCTTGAGGAGCCCGCTCACGTAGTTCTCCGCCTCGCCGCGGGAGGTCGCCGCGAGCTCCAGATATCGGTCCAAAGCCCGAGCCCGGTGCTCGGCCCGCGTGCCGGCGAGTTCATC